AGGTGAGGGAATTATGGAGTAGAGAGATGATAATTTCATGACTGTGGATGCTGAAGGAACTGCTGGTGGTCTATTATGTATATGGGATCCAGGAGTGCTCCAAGTTTGAGGATGCCGCTGTAGTAGACGATTCATTCTGTTATCTAGTACTTTATTCTTTTCTTTTGATTGTGTTATAGTAAATCTATATGCTCCAAATGAAATGGGGCAAATAGGGAAATTATGGGAGAGTCTGTTGAAGTTAAAGAAGGAGTCCTTGGTGCTTGAGGGGTGATTTTAATTAAATCAAAAGCATTGGTGAGAGAAAATGGTGCTCTAGAAGGGATAAGGGTATGAAGGAGCTGAATGAATTCATTGATAAAAGTGAAGTGAATGATCTACCCCTGTTAGGTAGAAGATATACATGGTACAACTCCAGGGAAAGGGAAAAATGGAGCAGAATTGACAGGGTTTTAGTGGAACTAACATGGTTGGAATCATTTAATCTAAAGTTGTAGGGGTTACCTAGAGCACTGTCAGATTATAACCCTTTACTCTTGATGGAGGATGAGAGAGATTGGGGCCCCAAGCCGTTTAGGTTTCTGAATGCTTGGACTCTTCATCCAAATTTCTTACCTTTTATGGAAAAGTGGTGAAAGGAGCATGATGTTCAAGGCTGGGCTGGATTCAGATTATTTAAGAAGATGAAAGAGTTGAAGCTAGCTCTGAAACAGTGGAATAGTGAAGTATTTGGCAATATAAATACTAAATTGAAACAAGCAGAAGATGAGTTGCATCAGATTGATCTGGTAGAAAAGGTAAGAGAGCTTGTAGAGGCAGAAAAAGCTCGAAGAAGAGAGGTTAGTGAAGAAGCTGGCAAGTTGTATAGAATGGTTGAGTGGATGTGGCTTCAAAAATCAAGACTAAATTGGGACTTGAAGGAAGACAAAAATACAAGATATTTTCATGTGGTAGTCAAAAGTAGGCAGGGGAGAAATGAGATTAACTCCGTATCTATTGGAGATGAAGTTTTTGAAGATCCTAATAAAGTAAAGTAGGAGGTTCAAGCATATTTTCAAAGACAATATAAAGAGGAATGGAGATCAAGACCTGTGTTGGAAGGATGTTTCAAGTCAGTTAGGAACAACCCATTTTTTGATCTACTGGAATTAGAATTTTCTGATGCAGAGATTAGGTGTGCTATTACAGATTGTGATGGCAACAAGGCTCTAGGCCCAGATGGGTTCAACTTGGCATGTGTCCAGAAGATGTGGAAGGTAATGAAGAGTGATGTGATCAACTTTATAAGTGAATTCCATAAAAACAGTAAGTTAGTTAAAGGGATCAATAGTTCTTTTATCACTTTGGTGCCTAAGAAGGAGAATCTAGTGAGTGTAGCAAATTATCGACTAATCACTTTGGTTGGCTCATTGTATAAGATTCTATCAAAGGTACTATCCTCTAGGTTGAAAGCAGTGCTCCCTCAAATTATAAGTAAAAATCAATCAGCATTCCTAGGAGGTATGAACATATTAGATGGTGTTTTGGTAACAAATGAGGTGGTAGATGGATGGAAGAAGTCTAGGAAAAGAGGTTTGATCATAAAGCTAGATTTTGAGAAAATCTATGACTTATTAAATTGGGACTTTTTGTTTTCAATGATGATAAATTTTGGGTTTGGAGAGAAGTGGATGGGATGGATTAAGGAGCGTATTACCTCTTCTAGACTATTTGTGCTTGTTAATGGAGTACCAACTGGTGAATTTAGTCCCCAAAGAGGGCTCAGACAAGGGGATTCCTTGTCCCCTTTTCTGTTCAACATAGTAGCTGAGGGTTTAAATATTTTACTATCAAGAGCTTTGGATATGGAATTGATAAAAGGGGTGAAGATTGGTGCAGGTGGGATAGTGTTGACCCATTACAATTTGCCAATGATTCCATCTTATTGCGTGAATCTAAAGTTTTGAAAGTCAGAAATTTGAAGAGAATATTGAGGTGCTTTGAACTATTGTCAGGTCTGAAGATAAACTATCACAAAAGTGTAGTGAGTGGTGTGGGAGTTCCAGTTGAATCTATGAATGAGTTTGCATCTGTGCTAAATTGCAAAGTGAAAATTTTACCAATTAAGTATCTTGGATTACCATTGGGGGCTAAACCAAGTAGAAAAACAACTTGGAGGCCTATTTTGGACAAAGTTACAGTTAAACTAGTAGGGTGGAAAAAGGAGATCACTCTCATTTGCAGGGAGATTGACCCTGATAAAGTTACAGTTAAATTAGTAGGGTGGAATGTCACGACCCAAACCCGCCCCTATGGGTTTAGCACCGTAACCGGCCAGTAATTCAAGATTACCGAAGGCTTGCTTAATAATAAAACAGTAATACAGAGTACAGGGGCTGGCGGAAGCCAAAACAGTAATTTAAAGATGTCCAATGAGCTGTGGGATTCTGTATGCAAAAAGACTTTTCATAACATAATTACATTCAGTACAAAAACAATATGTACATACATCATTACAGGCATTCAGGTTTGGGACCAAATCCCCTTTATAACAGTACAGTACAAAACATTCAGTCTATACAGCATTACAAAACAGAGACAGAAAGGGGGAATCTAAAACACCCCTAAGCAGCCTAAGCTTGAACAAATTTGGAACCTCGCAGTGAGGCACAAAGGTTGGCTTGACAAACAGGAGCTTGGCCCGATGCTCCTAACAACGGTCTGGTGCCTGTACGCCTACATACGTATGAGCAGTGAGCTAAAGCCCAGTGAATAACATATGCGTAAAGAGGTTAAGAATGAATGTCCTTTCAGTATTGAAAAACAGTATTTATGAGTATATCAGTCATTCAGTCATAGCAGTCATAAGTGGTGCATCCAATAGCAAAGCAGTACAGTAGGTCTTAACAGACCGAACAGTCAGTTGATGGCCATCATATCAGTAAACAATAGTGGTTCCAATATGGGAACCGACAGAGATCTCTGCGTCAGTAGCAGTACAGTACAGTAACAGTAAATTGCTATGGATGCCACGAAATCGCAAATAGGACAAACATTCATTCAGTAGACAGTATTATTTATAAAGCAGTTCAGTCATTCGTTCAGAAAATAATCTCATTTGAACATATCTTTACGACAGTGTTACTCACAGAGTTCTAGGCTACAGATAAGTTAGTGAGCGTCCTCGGATGCCAATCCTACACAGTTACAGGATGAACACACACTAAGCTACACAGTTGGGAAGTAATAACTTAATACCTAAATTGCCTCGGTGTGGTTCTACATCAGTATCCTCATTAAGATGCCTTAAACTAGGCCTAGGATGGAATGAGGATGCAAAGATACTCTTAAAAACATTTTTCAAAATTTTCAGAATATAGGGGTCCCGCTCGAGCGTGGCTTTTGCCGCTCGAGCGGACATGCTAACAAAGGATCTCCGCTTGAGCGTGACTTATCCCGCTCGAGCACACTGCAAAAGTACTGGATGCACGAAATTCACGCTCGATCGGCGCTCGACCTCCGCTCGAGCGTGAGACACAAGTCCTCGCTCGAGCGTGTATTACCCCGCTGGAGCGGATTGCAAACACATGCAAAGTATTGGATACACGCATTTCCTGCTCGAGCGTCACTTTCCCCGCTCGAGCGGACTGCATGAACTCAATGCTTACACTCGAGCGTCGAGTTTCCCGCTCGAGCGTGAGTCCAAAATCTGGAATTTCCATATTTGAACCTCAAGCTCAAAACTCAATTTCAAAACATCAAACTCGATCCTTTTGTGCTAATTTTCTGGAAGACACTTCAAAACTCATAATTTGACATGTTTCAAAGATCAATTTGAGAAATCAAAGCCCGAAGGTAGTTCAATTAAACACCAATTTCAAACAAACTTCAAGAACATGATGAATATGTAACATGCATGATTTTAAACAACTTCAAAGCTTCAAATGATTGCTCCAAAGAGCCAATTCCTTCAAAATCATGATGAATTCATGGACTATAACAATAATATGGACATGCATGCAAGAATTTCCATGAAAACAACTTTAAATTTCAAGGTATGCACATGCATGCATGAATTAAGCCTCAATTCCACAATCTACAACCAATTCTTGATTCAACTCACTAAATTACCATGAACCATGCTAGAACAAGTCAAATATATAAATGAGAGAATGAAATTCCTACCTTAAGTCTTGAATGCAAGATAAGGGAGCTCAATTATGAAAACTACTCCTCAATTCCTATAATTTCCAAGCAAAACCTTCAAGTTGAACTCAATTTCTCTCACTCTATCACTCTAGTCGGATTTTGTCTCTCACAAATGAACAAGAATGATGTATAGCATACATAAGTCAAGACTAAACAATTGTCTAGCAAAACCCACTAATGGCAAAATGGCAATTAAGTCCAACTCTTGTACATTAGCATTATTTAATCCAATTTAAACATACCAAATCACATTTCAATTAAATTTACCATAAAATCACATAATTCCTAATTAGCATAAAACATTAATCAATTTTTGGTTCGGCCACCGATAAGGCCTTCAATTTACAATTTAAAACATAAAATATGAACAGATCATTTAACAGTCAAATAGATAGAAATGCATTTAAACTAATACCCTCAATCAATCAGTTCAGAATTTCAGTCTAATCAGTCACTTATCATGTTCAGTCACGGTTTAACAGTAATCAGTGGTAAGGGTTGTCACATCTACTCCAAATGGCTTTTCAGACGCAACCATGGTCACTGTTCGCTTGCCCAACTTTGTCTTCATGTACCAAGATAAGGGAGCTCAATTATGCAAATTACTCCTCAATTCCTATAATTTCCAAGCAAAACCTTCAAGTTGAACCCAATTTCTCTCATTCTCTCACTCAAGTCGGTTTTGGTCTCTCACAAATGAACAATAATGATGTATAGCATAGATAAGTCAAGACTAAACAATTGTCTAGCAAAGCCCACTAATGGCAAAATGACAATTAAGTCCAACTCTTGTACATTAGCATTATTTAATCCAATTTAAACATACCAAATCACATTTCAATTAAATTTACCATAAAATCACATAATTCCTAATTAGCATAAAACATTAATCAATTTTTGGTTCGGCCACCGATAAGGCCTTCAATTTACAATTTAAAACATAAAATATAAACAGATAATTTAGCGATCAACAGATAAACATGCATTTAAACTAGCACACTCAATCAATCAGTTCAGAATTTCAGTCAATCTGTCAGTTAACATGCTTAATCATAGGTTAGCACTAATCAGTGGTGAGGGTTGTCACATGGAAAAAGGAGATTACTCTCATTTGCAAGGAGATTGACCCTGATAAAGTTTGTACTTTCTTCTCTACCCGTATACTATCTGTCATTCTATAAAATGCCACAAGGGGTTGCAAAAGAGCTGGATAAGCTTCAGGCCTCATTCATTTGGGGTGGGTCTGAATTAAGGAAGAAGGTTCATCTAGTAAAATGGAAGGAAGTCTCTAAACCTGTTGACCAAGGAGGATTGGGGGTTAGAAGAGTTAATGAGGTGAATGCTTGCCTTTTATTAAAATGGTGGTGAAGGTTTGGAGTTGAGAGCAAAGCACTTTGGAGAAGAGTCATATGCAACAAATAGAAGGTAGATGAAGGGAATTGGTGGCCTTCAGTCACCTCTAACAACAAGTGTTCAAAATTTTGGAAGGATATTGTGAAAAGTAATGAACAAAATAGCAGCCTAATGGTGTTTTTTTTTTTTTTTTGGAAAATTGTCAGTTAAAAGTGGGTAATGGCCATAGAGTGAAGTTCTGGGTGGATAAATGGTGTGAAAATATAAGTCTTAAAGATGATTTCCCACTATTATATAGACTGGTAGTAAACAAGGGAGAGTCTTTCTCTGCAATGATGGAAAGGAAGGTGGTTACAGGTGATTGGTTGTTCCAATTCAGAAAGGAGCGATATGATTGGGAAAGTGTGGAGGTTACCAGATTGATAGGTTTTTTAGAGGTTTGTCCTGTCCTCTGGTCTCTCTTGGAAGATACACTGGTGTGGGAGGCTTCAAAAACAAGGAGGTTTACAGTTGAATCAGTCTATAAATTTCTGGAAGGTGGTTTTGGCCGCTATAGTAGAACAAGCAAAAGGGTGTGGGTGAAGTACATTCCTCCTAGAGTCCAATTCTTTGGGTGGCTTGCTTGGAAAGGTAGACTTAAAACAGCAGACTTTCTTCTTCGAATTGGTGTTCTCAATGCTAATGCATCAACCCTCTACATTATGTGCAAATCTGTGGATGAGTCAATTAATCATGTCCTATTGTCTTGCCCAGTGACTTGGAGAGTGTGGTCGAAAATACTAAATTGGGGGGGAGTACAAGGTGCACTACCTGATACAGTGGAGGCTATTCTTCACTGGTAGGCAGGGTTTAGGCTCAGTAAAAAGGAGAGGACGATGTGGAAAGCTCTTCCTATTACAGTGTTATGGTCTGTGTGGAAACATCGTAATGAATGCTTATTAAAAGATGTTATTTCAAATGCCGAAGCTGTATGTGATCTGATAAAGTTTAGAATGGCTGTGTGGTTCAAGGAAGTGTTTAAAGATCATAAATTCATAGTGCATGATTTTCTCTTTAACTTGAAGCATATTAGATTCTGTTTGGGTGGTGGTGCGAGGGCAGTGCTATAAGGATGCTTAGTTGTGGGGTGTCTTGCTGCTGGGATGTTTCATTTTGTTCAGTAGGGGGCCACGCAGTGTGATCTTTAATTGCTGGGTGGCTTGATGAAATTGGAATCTTGGTGGAAGGTATAATTGTTTGTTTTGTTGTTGCTGGGCCTCGTAGTGTGATTTTCATTGGCTGGGTGGATTGATGAAGTTGGATTCTTGGTGGAGGATATCATTGTTAACTTTATTGTTGTTGGTACTGTTATGTAATTAATTAGGTTTTGGTTGGTTATTTTGGGAGTGTTTTGGGTGGTTTATTTTACCTAGGTGCTCTTTGTGAAATTTGGTGAGGTTGTTGTATAAGTGGGTGTCTATTTTGGTGGTTTTATGGAATTTGTAAAGCCAAGGGCTAAATATGTAATGAGTGAGACTCAATTTGTGTAGCCAAGCAATGACTTGGGAAGATGTAAGCCTATGTGGCATTTAACTGGTTGTTAAACAGTAAACTCTAATGTATGAAAGTATGTTGTTTCTTATATTTATTCTGCATATGAGTTATCTTTATTGTATTATTTTGGGGGCGTTACAACACAGTACCAATATTCACATCTCAATCCATTTCCATTTATTCATTTCAAGTTAATTCATTTTGTTTCCATACATAAGCCAAGTTTATAGTTTTCCAAATAACCCAACTGAGGCTACAACTCAGTGGTTCTCAATCAACATAACCATCATACAAGCACTTCAATCATGCCATTTTACAAAAATTTCGTCTGCAGGATCGGCACCTATGTATACACATGATTTCGGGACTTTCACCCTGGACACTCTGGCCAACTTAATTTCAATGGAGTCCATCCCTTATCTCCTCCCAAAACATGGTGTACATCCCCTTTCTTCTCCCAAAACATTTTACATATACAATGTATTCAAAGGTACCGTCATATTCAATGACTTTCAATTACACATATACAATGCCTCAACATACCATCATATTCAATGACAAAATTAAATGATTAGTTTCAATTCACCTAATCCTCATGCAATTTCTACAACAATCATAGCTATCCTCCACTGATAGCCCAATACAGATATTTCTAAACAGATATTCAATCTTTATAACAAATAATTCATCACATTTTCATAGGTGAGTGATTAAACAAATCCAACAACACTATTCATCTATACTATCCCCAATTTCACATTTTCCATGCCAATTTCATTGTTTATGCAAAATAATCATTCAAGACATATTAGGGCAAATTTTCACTTTTTTCAAATATTAACCCAAAGGCTAAAATCCACTATTCGAACATAAGAAAAGTTCATATCTAAAATCCCATGATCATTTATGTAACACAACATAAAAACCCCTCTTTTCAATTTGAATCCAAACCCTAGGTTTACTCAAATACTCCTAAAATCTCACCATTTGTACATAACAACAAATAACTAGGTTAAAGATCATATTAAGGTGTAGAATATCCCCACCTCAAATGTAGAAGCCCAAAGGAGAAGTGGAGAAACCTCAAGCACACCCAAACTCGACTTTATTCGGATAAAATGGAAGCCTACAAAATGCTCTATCTTTTTATCAAAGAGAATAGGGTAGAGAGATCCCTAAATCTAGGTATATTTCTAGAGAGAAGTCGGGTTTTAGAGACAGAAGGAGCCGATTTAGGGTTTTTGAGTGAAACGATAACAAAAAGTGATGTAAAAATGACCTGCTACGAATTGATATACGCGAGGCTCACTCGAAGGAAGGAGTCGTCGCTCGAGCGACCAGACACAATAAGTGTCCCCGCTCGAGCGCATGAAGCGTCGCTCGAGTGTAGAATACAAATCCCTAGAAGTTTTGCAGACAGAAGACCGTCGCTCGAGCACAAGTGTCCTCGCTCGAGCGAACAACAACACCTCCCTAGAAACTCTTCAGGTCTGAAAGAAATACAGGGAGATCACAAAGTTTGCTCAAGCGAGGAAAGCTTCGCTCGAGCAAAGAAG